TTTAGTTGTTAAATAAGGAACAAGGAAGTTTTTTTTTGTGCCATTTACAGGGAGAATATTCTTATTTTTTTTTGTTTTCCAGTACATCTTGTCTTGGGAGCACCCTTTGATTTTACATCTGTAAGTAGTTATCAGTTAAAGTAATTGACCTTTATGATGTTGTAGCAGTTGATATTTAAAGATTTCTCTATGTTTGTGTCTTCCAGTGTGACATTCCAATCATACGGAGATGGTGGACTCTTATTCTTCTGGAGAACTTTGGAGTTTTCTCTGAAAGGTACTGGACATTTCCTCCAGCACACCATTACATTTGCACCCCCTTCTGACCAATTTGAAATTAACCAATATACATGTATATTACAGTGCAGAAACCCTACAAGAGGCCCTTCCAATTGGATAACAGGCTACGCTTGTGAGGTATGTCTCAAATCTATCTGTCTATCTATATACACACATTAATAAGAAATATTAAAGTTACATTTTCCTTTAATATTCTGTAATGAAGGAGATCCCAGTAATCTCACAGAAGTTGTGAAATGGCTCCATTAAACAGACATCTGCTCAGGGGTCCAGTGGGAGAGCCTATTTTCCTTATAATGGAGCAAGAGGACAAGGAAAAGGCCCTCAACAATCTCCTGGAACAGAAGTTTCCAGAGTGCCCTTCATATTTCATCTTGTGTTCAGGGGAGTTATTTTTGTAGGATTGTCACGACAAAATGTGCCCAAGAGTGAATTGTTCATTTTGTTTTCATGCAGGATTGTCATGATCTATTTTATGTAAAGCACTTTGAATTACCATTGTGTATGAAATGTGCTATATAAATAAACTTGCCTTGCCTTATAAAATGCATACATAAAGTATGAAGTATCGTGTGTAATAAAAGCAAATTACCCCTTAAAAACCGTAAGGTGGCGTTACTCTGTTAAAAAATTTAAGCTCCGCCCCTCACTTCCGGTTCTGTGGCTGCGGTTCTGAAACTGCAGGTGCTGCGGGTCTGCAGCTGGATGCTATTGGCAAGTGTGGGTATTTGGACAAGTGGACCGTTTCGCCACTCAGGGGCGCTGACAAGGCACTTCTGCATTCATACTGGGAAAAGCCGTATGTATGTGGAGAGTGTGGCAGGAACTGCGAAGGTCTGCGCTACCACCATAATCCATCCACACCATCCAGAAGTGCATGCCTTCAGCAAATGAAACCGCAGGATGTGATATTTTGTCTTTTCTTATAAGGTTTTAAAAGGCTCTCAAAATGGTCTAAACATCTATAATAAAGTGATGTGTTTGTGTTGGTTGGACCTTTGTGATTGTTTTATTTTGAATTTATTTATTTTGAAATGTGAATATAATCTGTCTTTATGTTTTGTCTCAAGATGCACACGAGTAATGTTATTTTCTAGGCACGTTTAAGATACTTAAATGTCCTAATTAAATTACGGCTTAATCTTGGCCCTGTCTGTAAAACCAGGTAAACATGTTTATAGTTTGTGCTTACAAAATACAATTTCCTACAACAGGACTTTGTACAAATAATATTTTTCAACTGAAAATTTTCAGAATTTAAAAGAATAACTTTATAAAAATAGACAGCCTACTAGTGGATTGTGCTATTGATTGGGAACTCATATACTGTTGGAGAGACTTTTGAATTTCAGGATCTGATTCAGACTGGGATGAGTGAACCCCCTGGGTGCCAGTTAGAGCACAATAATTATGTAAGGATGAGGACACCGGTGATCAGGTTTATGGAATATATTGATAGGAGATTATCAATGACAGGCAGTAGAGGCATTAGTCTGGAACACAAGATGAATGAGACGCACTCTCTGACAGCAGGTGGCGCCTATGAACAGGGTTGCCAGGTTTTCGCAATAAAACTAGTCCAATTGTGTTTCGAGGAGGGTTCCCCTGTAAAAATCGCATTCCGGGGGTAAAATACATGTTTTTCGGCGGGGATCTTCAAGTAAAATTCACATTCCAGGGACTAAATATCACGTTATTGGGGTCGCTTCAACCCGCGGAGATTAACAACAACCAGCGGCAACAGTGTTAAGTAGCAAATATAACCCCATAAATGTAATGCATTTTTGTACTTATTTTACTGTTTTTTTTTTCGGGATCTACTGGGACAGTGATGAAGATCTACCAGTTGATCGCGATCGACGGGTTGGCGACCACTGTTCTAGAGAGTCACCCCTTGATTGCTGCACACTTTTTTCTGATCAGTGGTTGATTTGTAGTTTGTACCACCAAAAGACTCACTGAGTTTTCACATTTTTTCATATTTCCCAATAATTTTCTATGTCGGTCATTTTTGACCGCGAAGAAGTCAAGTGTGACTATTTTTTTTTTGACCATTTAACATATCCGAATCATGTCCATGATTTTTGTGTGTTCATATTGCTAATGTGACAAAAGTCACCAAGTGTCATCTCATTCCGATGAAGCTAAGATTTTTACAATTTCAAAATATAAATTTAGGGCCGGAGGGTTAATGAGCTTTCTCAGCATAACGTTACCCGTCTTTCCTATCTCTGTCAGCAGCTTCCTTCAGAAATGTAGATATCTTGGAGCTTCTCTTCTGTTGTAGAAATGTTACTCCTGAAACCACAGAACAATTTTTTATCAATAATAGTGTTTAACTTTGATGAAAGATCAAATCACATTTTAACTAGATTCAGTTAATTCACGCTCCTTTAAGTGACGTCACCGATTAACAGTACAGCTCATATTTTCAGGCTAAATAAATTAGCCTAATTCCAATAACTCATTGACAAAACATTTACAAAGCTATCAAAACCTCCCGTCTACACATAAAGATGTGATTAAAAGTCAAAACTTTAATAAATAAGAGCTCAATGTACAGAGTTAGCATGCCTCGTCTGAAATCAGTTGAGATGCTAACGGAAACACTAAACCATTTTTATGAAGTAAGTATTCAACAGAAGCTTGTCAATCACAAGTAAGAAAAGTGTCAGGAACAGTTTTATGTAATATTTGTGTGATTTTTGGGACTAAACTCACCTGAAAACAGTGAAAATGGTGAAAACAGCAGCGAGAGACGTGCTGCAGGTTATCAGCGGGAGTGTTGCACCCGTTTCCATGGTAACTCCCTCCGCTGCAGTGTTTGAATCTCATCATTGTAATCTTTTGTGTTTTCTACATTTCTTTGTGGAAACCACACAAACACACATACACACACATATACACATAGGCCTACATATGAACGCTCTTTTCAAACAGAAGCTTGTAACGCACATGATATCAGTCACAGCATATAATGACTACTAAAAATTACAAATTATATATAATTTTATTTCAAATAAAAGGAAAGTTAAAAGTGAGTTGAATCCAAGCAGCTCTAATAGATTTTAGAATAGTTCTGCATCCTGAAGGCGCTCCGCCTGTGTTCGCGGTGTTGCTTTGACCTTAAACATGTTAATACAAAATGTTTAGCGTGCTGTCTCTGGAAATATCAACCGTGATTGATCAGCCTTTATTTTTGTATTGTAGACGTTATTACTAGGCGAAGCAAAATTTGCTGAAATATCCACGACATAGGCTACAGTAAGAGCACATGGTTTATCTGTCCATCAGATGCGTGTCAAAGTTGAGTTTGTTACTATAGCAACAGTAGATCAAACAATCATTGTAAAAAAATAAATAAATAAAACTGTCGAGATCACGAGAAAATTAAGTCGTTATAACGAGAA